TAAAAAAGCATTCTACCTGAAGAAGGTAGAAAATGCCACTTCCTTGGGCCCAAGGCTAGGAGTTTTTTTGTTTTTTAACCATTTTGAAATAATTTCAACTTCACATTAAAGTAGAAGAAATAATAGAAGCTCACAAATGTTTTTCATGTAAATTGCCCCAATTTCTGATCCACTTGAAAAAAAAAAGCTGTAGACATGCCCTCCTCCCATATCCCTTGTTTTAGTCAGCTATTTTGCTGCTGTGACTAAAAGGACCCAACCAGAACAATTGTAGAGGAGGAAAAACTTATTTGGGGGCTCATGGTTTCAGAATCTCAAACCATAAACAGCAGACTCCATTCCTCAGTGCTCAAGGTGAGGCTGATCATCATGGCAGAAGAGTGTGGCAGAAAGAGGCAGCTCATATGATGATCAGGAAGCAGAGAGAGAGACTCTACTTGCCAGATACAAACATATACCCCAAAGCTATGCCCCCGATGCCCTACCTCCTCCAGCCACACCACACCGGCCTTCAGGCACCACTTAATAATATCATCAGGTGATGATTTCACTGATTGGGTTAAGGCCATCATAACCCAATTCTTTCTTCTCTGAACCTTCTTGCACTGTCTCACACATGAACTTTTGAGGGACACCACATCCAAACCATAACTCTCCTTAAATACAAGGTCACTCAAAATCTAATCTATAGGTCTCAAATTATCCAGCTGTTCCAATCTTGTTTTTTATGGGTCCAGGATCTAATTCAGGATCACAGGTGAGATTGAGGTTCCTTTACTCTCTTCATTCTCTAGTCTGAAACAGCTTGATGTCCCTGGCATTTTTTAAAGTAGTGGCTAATCACTTTGTAGGACATCTCTCAATTTAGGTTTACATGATATTTCTTCATGATTTATGCATATGGAGCCAAAATGCCAGCGTTTCTCACTGGGTCAGCAAGTACAGGTGGCAATCAGTTCTAGTGTTGGAGATATTAACCTTTATTGCTTAGTTGAGATGGAATCTGCCAAGTTTGTCCTCTGTAAAGTTGATTTACATGTTGTAATATTTTGGGGGGGGGGAATATCTTGAGTTTAGGTAAATAACTCCTTCCTCATGTAATATTCACCAGACTCAGCATCCATTGATGATTCTGGCTTCTATCAGCTGTCACTATGTCTACTGCCAAATGGCAATTTTCTTATTCTACCCTATCTAAATTTATTAGTGGTTTCTATTGTAGGGTAGAACTTTCTTTTCTTCTACACTTATTTACTTACATATTTGTTTATGTCACTATTGACTAATAAATTACCATCAAATGATTTCAAATCTGATCCTTAAATTATTTATATTTTGTTGTCTCAAGTTGTCTAGTTTTGGCCAGTGGGGAACTGGTTTAAGCTGATTCCTGTGTACTCTTCTTGTATATTTCACTAGTCTGTGAACACATCCTTAATTTCTAGCTCTTTTCAGGCTCACCTTGGTTTTTGTTTGTTTGTTTGTTGGGTTTTTTTGGTTTTTTTTTTCCTAAATTTTTTGCTCTTGCCTTTGAGTCAGCCATTTCTCCAAGAGCCCCGGTTCCTTTTATTGGAGAATAAATAAACTAATATTAGCATTTAGAAACTAAAATTTCAGCTCTAGATGTACTCCTTACTACAAAGGTGGTGTTACACTAGAATTTCTTATA